CTTCCTTCCTTCCTTCCTCCCTCAGCGGCGGCTCGTCAACCCCCAACCTGATCAACACCCTCATCTCCATCGCCCTCGCGCCGGGCACTGTCACGGAGCCCATGTTCGGAGGCCAGAGCCAGCTCCAGGTCGGGAGGGAGGGAGGGATGGGGGGAGGGAGGGCGGGAAGGAGGACGGGAGGGAGGGCGGGAAGGAGGACGGGAGGGAGGGCGGCAGTCGATGCAGCCCCTCCATCCGTCCCTTGATGTCATCTTTCCTCCTTTCCTCCCTCCCCTCAGGTCTTCCTACTCCTCTTGGCTTTCGCCACGGTGCCGGTTCTTCTCTGCGGCAAGCCTTGCGTCATCATTAACCAGGTAACCCTTTTCTCTCCCTCCCTTCCTGGAACCGTCCCTCCTTCCCTCCCTTCCTTGCGGGCCAATCCACGCCAAGCTAGGCCTACCCATATCTTAGCCTTCTCACCTCTCCTTCCCTCCCTCCCTCCCTCCCTCCCTCCCTCCCTCCCTCCCTCCCTCCCTCCCTCTCTCCTTCCTTCCTTCCTTCCTTCCCTTCCCGGGGTCCAGATGAAGAGGAAGCAGGCGGGTCTGGCCGGGGGGCACCAGGGCGCGGTGACGCACCAGGCGCTGGGGGAGGAAGGGGAGGAGGAAGGGGCGCACGGTCACGGACACGGGCACGGCGGCCATGAAGACCATGGTGGGCGACCTTCTTCCCTCTCTCCCTCCCTCCCTTCCTCCCTCCCTTCCTTTCTCCCTCCCTCTCTACCTCCCACCCTTGTCTGACGCCTGTGGCTAACCACTTCCCCCTTCTCCTCTCTTTCTCCCTCCCTCCCTTGTCAGGCGGCGTTGGCGAGATCGTGATCCACCAAATGATCGAGACGATCGAGTTCGTTCTGGGCATGGTCTCCAACACCGCGTCGTACCTCCGGCTGTGGGCGCTTTCCCTCGCGCACTCTCAGCTGGCGGAGGTGGGGAGGGAGGGAGGGGATGAAGGGCAAGCATGGCGCCAGATGGGGGTCCCGGGGATGTCTCTTAAGTCTCATCTTCACGCTTTCCCTTTCTTCCCCTCTACTCAGGTGTTCTTTGAGAAAACCTTGAAGGGTCAGATGGAATCTGGATCGGTCATCGGCGTCTTCATTGGCTTTGCAATTTTTGGCGGTAGGGAGAAATTGGGAGCAAAGGTCTCTCTGGGTTCTCAATTTTTTTACTCATCGTGCCTCTGTCCACCCTCGATTCCCCTCTCGCCCTCAGCCGTGACCTTCGGCGTCATCCTCTCCATGGACGTGGTCGAATGCTTCCTGCACGCGCTTCGCCTCCACTGGGTCGAGTTCCAGAACAAATTCTACAAGGTACAGGGAAAGAAAGGGAAAGCCTGCACTGAAGAGGATGGAGTACTCGGTCCGACGGTTGCTTGCCTCTCACTAGCTCCTCACTAGACCTTCCATTCTTTTGTCACCCTCCCTCCTTCCACAGGCGGATGGCTACAAATTCGCCCCTCTCTCCATTCCAGCACTCTGCAAAAAAGTGGTGCTCACGTAGGTAAGACCGAGGGAGAAGCGTGGAATGGAGAAAGGAAAAGCAGGAAAAAGGGACGCGCCAAAGACATGGCACCACCGGCTTCCAGGCACCGTTTGTTCTGGGTCTCCTCTCTTGGCTTCGTGCCTTCCTTTTGACATTCTGGGGTCAGCTGTCTAAGCGTCATTCCCTTGCTTTGCAACAACCCCCAGAGCTATGTAAAAGTCTTCCATTCGCGAGCGGAGCAGCCTGCTTCTCAGTCCGGATGGAAGGAAATGGGGTTGAGAGTGATTCGTGCGTGGTTAGGGTAGAGATATGTAAGGGAGACAGTTTGTGAGGGTCCATCGATGTGTGTTCACGGCGCGCTCCTAGGCTCTCCTCTGAATAGTCTCTTTCGGGGTGGAGAGGACGGAGCTAGAAATCGGACATGACGGTGGATTCTCCCGCGTCGACGGAAAAGGGAAAGAAGACCAGACCATCCCCGTAGGGAAGAAGTCAGAAAAGAATATCCGGGACCGACAAAAGCACCGCCAGCGGCACATTATATGTGCCAGCTTTTTCTCTGTATCGTTTTTATGAAGTCTTTCATTTGTTGTCCTAACACTCGACTTCTTCCCTCCCCACCAGGACTTCTCCCGCGCTCTTCCATCTCTCCTTACATGCTCATCACCTACGACCGTTTTCTCTATCAACCCTTGCTTTCTTTGACGTCATTCTTTACACCGGGGGGGTTAAACTCAACGCAGCGCGTGATTGCCGTATCATTGGATGGTGGCTGGTCAGGATGATCCCTGACACGCGCCCATGCTTTGTAAAGATGTCGTCGACCTTTAGCGAATCTACGCACACGTGCAATGTGAAAGCGGAGATGGAAGCATGTGTGTGACAGCTAGATTCTCCGGGATACGTTTTATCATATATTCGAATCAGATGACGATCGATTTGAGTACTTCTTGGCTTTCGCCATTCATGCATACTTGCTCTTTCAATGCATTGAATACGAGTAGTATTTTCTATTTATTTATTTATATCTATGTAACATTCGTCGTTTTTGAATGCTTCACGATATGAGGCTTCTCCTTGAAAAATAGAAAGCAATCATGAGAGGCGAAGGACGTCGCAAGACTTTTCATTTATTTTTTTTTAAAATCTAGAGGAGTTTCGTTTTCTTACACGCTGCAGTAAGGTTTCATGTAATATCTCAGAGAAGAGAAAATTGATAGGACAAATTCTGTGCGTCATCATCTCGTTCACTCCACCGGTGCACAAGCCAAGATTGCGTATCAAAATCGACAATTACACATACTTAAAACAACAAAGCCATCACATCACCTGCAAGTTCTTCGAAGTAGAAGATTTGCATCGAAGCACATGTGGTCCATTCCTGGGACTTTCAATAGATACACGTCAAGGACCAGGAGAGTCTAGTGCTGAAAGAGGCGCTAAAGCACCTAATCATACAGAAAAAGGGGCAGGGGTGGGGGCAGGGGTGGGTCCAGGGACACATGTGACTTTCCTTGTCTTGGTCCCCTTGACAGAGCAACCGGTCAATGTCTGAGAGAGAGTGCCGACGCCTGGGACGGTAAGCTCGGCCGTCAAGGGGAAATCGACGGGATCTTCCTGGAGCTGCACACGCCGGAAGCTGCCTGACACGCTGAAGTATCCTCCCGTTGAGTTGTGCGACTTTCCTACGCCCTTGGGGGGCTTGCTGGCCCTGATTGACACGCGTGCCCCCATCATCTTGCACCTCGCCCCCTTGGAGCTCTTCCGCACCATGCAGTCGCCCGCCGCGAAGGACGCTGTGTCCAAGGTGTCAGCCGCCATATCGAGCAGCGTCACAGTCAGACCATTTGTGCCAATGCCGGACACGACAGCAAGAGTAGGATCCTCCAGGTGGCCCTTCATGCTCCACTTGTCTTTGTTCATCTGCGTCCTTTCGAACGTCTTGATGGACTTGAGGGAGAGCATTTGTCCGGTAGTAAGAGCAAGGGTAAGCCCCAAGGCGAGCAAAGAAAGACCACGTCGCATGATGGTAAGCTTGGTCAAGTTCCTGTCGAATCGAAAGAGCAGGATTAGATGTGGAAGATTCTTTGTGCGGCTTGTACCGGAGCAAGCAAGCGCAAGCTCCAAAGACGGGCAGTCTGTCACATATCCAGTAGCTGTATGGATATATATGAGGCCACACTTTTACCAAGATGTCGTGTGGATACAAAGCTGGAATTCATTTGACAAGCTGGCTCCTACTTAAGTGGCGACTCGTAGGTTGATACTTGTTCAGAGGTAGCACTACAGTTGCCAAAGGATTCGTAAGACAAGAGCTTACTTAGCGGCATCTCCTCTGTATGTATGGCGACCCCCAACGGAATCATACACGCCAAAGCTTACGTAAAGACTTGTTTCAGATGGCGGCCGAGCTTTTGCAAACATGCTCTCAGTCGTCCGATGGCATGTCAGGCTTTCAACGCAAACGTCGTCACCAAGGGAGGCAAGAGTCACCTTTTTACACTGCTCAGGTCACACCACGATCTATACAGAGCAATCCACACCAAGCGACGGCATGAGGAGAAGCCCGTTTTTTCGTTGCCTTAGGAAACGGTCAAACAGCCGTTACAATGATCTTAAAAGGCCGTTCAAACGGAGAGCTGGAAAAAAGAGGCAACGACGGACTAATACCCATGCACCATGAAAGGCGCTAAAGCGAGTCCATCAGCAGAGACATACAAAGGGACAGCAGAGAAGGAGGGAAAGAAATCCAGGCTCAAAAAGCATGTGAGGAGAGTGGAGGTAGACAGGGAGGTAGAAACGGGACAGAGAGGCATGAGGTCAAGAATTCGCATCCCATGTGGAATCAAGCTTCAGCCAAGTGACTACCAAGGTGCAGTCCAAGTGAGCTCGTATGGAAAGTGGATTAGGGTTTCAACGCAAACGTCGTCACGAAGAGAGGCAAGAGTCATTTTCCCATACTACTCAGATGACATAGTGATCTACAAACAGCTACGCACACCAAGCGACGGCATGAGAAGAAGCCCGTTTTTTCGTTGTCTTAGGAAACGGTCAAACAGCCGTTACGATGATCTTAAAAAGCCGTTCAAACGGAGAGCAGGAGCGTGGGGACAGCAAGCGACCAATTTCCGATAATTATGGAAGGCGGAAATAGTGGATCTGGTCCCTTTTGCGGAAACATGCAGAAAGACGTGATGTAAATCAATAAGAATTGATCTTGCTAGACCTACGCATCGACGTTGAAGGACAACTATCATTTGTTGACTCATTGGCACGGGAATACACTTTCAAGCAAATTGATGCGACGTTCATGGAATCACGCTTAGCGTCGGAGTGCAAATAAGTTCTTAACAATCCCGTGTCGAAGTGCACATCGGGGGCCAGTCTAGATGCTGAACGATAGTGAAGGTAGATATTACGATATAAGACTAGCTGATCATTCCTGTATCTTTCACCAAATTCTTCGCTGATGTATGCATGAAATGACTCCAAAACTAAAGCTTTCTTGAATAGACATAAATAATGACTCGGTAAAATGACTCAAATCTTATACATGTACGACGGACCCTTTCTTTTCACCACTCGGAAACTTCCGAATTTTTTACACAATTCTTTATTTCTTCTCTCTGTGCCCGACCCCAGAATAACCATATATTTGTTGGGCGAGTGTAGCGGCTACGGAAGGCGATGAGAAATAATCCGCCTCGAACGGAAAGACTGGGATCGTTTCCGTGAATTGTTCGTGATGGCGGCTGACGACGTTCTCCTCGTCCCCTATGTTTCCCTCCTCCTCCTCGCCCCCTGCAGCTCGTATTTGCTCCCGGTACGAGGATTCGGATTGCGGGAAGGAGGGAAAGAGATCCGGGCTTAGCGAGCTGATGAGGAGCGTGGAGGTGGAGAGGGAGGTAGAAATGGAAGAGAAAGGGGTGAGGTCATGGAATCGCGTCCCACGTGAAATACCAGTCGAGTAAAGGGACCAGAAAGGGTCGACAAGGAAGAGGGAGGGGGCTGGGAAATTTTAAAGAGACAAAAAGAAAGGGTAGAAAAGGCGAAAGAGCTGACCGAAGCCATTCATGAAGAAAATAGCAGACTGCGGCACGGTGAGAAGCTGCGGCGGAAGGGAAAACGGAACGAGGGCATGAGAAGTCAGGCTTTACTCTCGAAAAAGGCCGAGAGAGATCGGCAAGGCGGAGATTCGTGGCGTCCACAATTGCCTGCAGTAAAGGCCCCGGGGGGGGGGGGGGAGGGAAGAAGGAGAGAGGGAGGAGGGAGGAGGGAGGAAATTGTGCCCACTTCGGTTCGACAGGAACATGCGATGGAAAAATGGAGGGAGGGAAGAGAAGGAAGGAAAGGAAGGAAGGAGGGAGGGGAAAAGAGACAAACAAACGAAGGGGAGCGGTGGGAGGAGAAAAACGATACTTGAATGGCGGAGACGGTGATGCCTTTTATGCTGTGGGCGGAAGCAAAAATTGCGCGAAGCGTTCGCAATGCCTCGACCAGGCGGCCCTCCTAAAGAATAGACGAAATTTGAGGAAAGAATGGGAGAAAGAGGAGGAGTTCAAGGGTGGGATGGGAACAACGCAGGGGCATACAGAGAAGCAAGGCAGAAGGGAGGGAGGGAAAGAGGGAGGGAGGGAGGGAAAGAGGGAGGAAAAGAGGGAGATTATGTCCTGACCTTTAATAATTCAAAAACCAACAATTCCATCCGCCTCAGACGGAAAAGCATATCGCGAAGCAATTGCTTGACCTCCCTCCAGTCTTCCTCCCATCCCTCCCTCCACCTGTCCAGCGCCCCTCCCTCCCTCCCTTCCTCCCCTCCCCTCCCATTCGGGCCCAGAACGAAAGGAGGAGATCAACGACCTCGTTCGAGTCGACAGCACCCTAGGAGACGGTAGAATGAAGGTGTCAAGAGAAAAAGGTGGAGCATCAAGAAAGGAGGAAGGGAGGGAGGGAGGGAGGAAGGGGGGGGAGGGAGGGAGGGAGGGAGGGAGGTGACCTGGTGGCTGCGCAGGATTTCCGCGACGTGGTCGATCTCTCCCTGTGATTGGCATCATTAAAAAAGTAAAGTTAAATAATTTAAATTAATTTAAAGGGGGGGGGGCAAGAGGGAATGAGGAAGGAGACAGAGGTAAGGTAGTTGTCACGGTCACGTCCACCATATCTCCGGTGAAACCACCCTCCCTCCCTCC